GTTTGAGATCAGCCTGGTCAACATGGTGAAATGCCGTCTCTACTAAAAATACAAAAATCAGCCAGGTGTGGTGTCGAGTGCCTATAATCCTAGTTACTCAGGAGGCTGAGGCAGGAGAATTGCTTGAACCCAGGAGGCAGAGGTTGCAGTGAGCCAAGATTGCACCACTGCACTCCATCCTGGGTGACAGAGCAAGACTCTGTCTAAATGAGTAAGTAAGTAAAATATTTAGAAGTTTCTATTGATCTATCTCAGTGCTCCTTTGGATAGGTATGGATCTCCACTGGTAATTTCTTGTGCTTATGTATATGAGTTTAATGGGTGAACTAAGATGCCATCTTCAAACAGTATTTATAATTTATTATAGGAGTAGATTTGTCCAAGATAGAAAAACATCCAGATGCAGCAAACCTCCTTCTGAGATTGGATTTTGAAAAAGACATTAAGCAAATACTCCTGTTTCTTAAAGATGTGGGTATAGAGGATAACCAACTGGGAGCATTCCTGACAAAAAATTATGCAATTTTCTCTCAAGACCTTGAAAATATGAAGACCAGGTAGGACTTTTAAAAGATTCTCATATAACGCAAGAAGTGGTTATGAAGGAAATCCATGTGGAAACTGTTCTTTAAGTTACTGCTGTACAAGGATCTACTGAGATAATGAACATGAATGTTATTTTTTTGTAATAGACATTCTTTGATCTAAATTAAGTATTTACAACACTTCTTTTATTCAACTACCCATTATTATTATTTTATTATTTGAGACAGAGTCTGGCCCTGTTGCCCAGGCTAGAGTGCAGTGGCGAAATCTTGGCCCACTGCACTCTCTGCCTCCTGGGTTCAAGCGATTCTCCTGCCTCAGCCTCCCAAGTAGCTGGGTGACTACAGAGGTCTGCCATCATGCCCTGCTAATTTTTGTGTTTTTAGTAGAGACGGGGTTTTGCTACGTTGGGCAGGCTGGTTGAACTCCTGACCTTAAGTGATCTGCCCATCTTGGCCTCCCAAAGTGCTGGTATTTTACAGGCATGAGCCACCATGCCTGGCCCCATTATGATTTTTATGTTTTCAACTTATTACTGAGTCAGTAATTAACTATTTTCCTTTAGAAACTGGAGTAAGTTTTTTTCTTAAAAAAAAAAAAGTCCATTAACAAATAGTTTACTTATCTGAGAGTGCACCTAAAGATATGAAAGCCTGATCTTTTGTAGTTTTTGTTTGGCCAATTTTTGTTGGTAGACATTTGACATTGTCTTGGCAAATTATTGTATAATTTGCTTAATCGTCTCCATAAGTTGGCTATTTTGGTTGTTCCTTGTTTTCTTCTTTAAAGAGTACTTTTATAAATATCTCTGTACTTCATTTACCATTCAAATAATTATTGAATTTATGAAAATAAATACAGTGAGATATAGATCTGTGAGATAAGAATCCTACCAGGCATTGGGAATACGACAGAGAACAAGGCAAAACTCTGTCCTTAAGTTAACATTCTCAATTCATCATCACCCCCACTTCTCACCCAAGCCAGTCTGTTTTCCCAGATTTGCTGAATATTCTTTTGCCCAACACAGAAATATTGATATTAACTTGGCTTCTCTTCTTTTATCATCTACAACTAATAAATCATGAAAGCTCATCAGTTCTACCCTTTTTATAGCTCAAATCAGTCATCACATTTCTCTGAATCTTTGACTATTTTGCCTCAGTTCCCCATTGTAGCACACCAAGGTCACTGCAGTGGTCTCCTAATTGATCTGCCTCTAGTCTTGACCCTCTAAACTGTTCTCCATACCGATGTTGATTTTCACTACATTTCAGAGAGCTTTGCGGTTCCTTAAACCATCAGAGTCTATTGTCTTTTCTCTGTATTAGGAAAGAAAAGGAAACTAAAACTGCATTTATTAAATTGAACAAGTTGAGGCCTTCTATATGCGAGACATTGGGCTAAACTTTAGACATCAAAGACACAGTTTTTCCCTTCATGGGAGTAATAGTCTGGTGTAATATAGATAGGCTATCACAATGCAGAGGGGAGAGAGTGTGATCTAAGAAACTCATCTGACATATCCAGCTCTAGTTTTCCTGGCTGTCACGAACACTGATCCTCTAGTCAAAAACCAGCTTGCCCATTTTACTCAAGATTTATTCCAAGAAAGCATGAATACCAGGAGAGTAGGAATCATTTCACAGGCTGCACCATTATTGTTAATAGCCCCTTTGTACATAGGAGGCACAGAGAGGTTAAATAATTTGCCCAAGATTACACACCGTTAGTATAAGTAGCAGAGTAAGTGGTTTCAACCCCAGTTAAACTCCAGAGTTCTGACTATTGCATACTGTCTCTCTATATTTAATTCTTTGAAGGAAACTTAAGCTTAATAGCTTAAGTTAACTTGCTCAAGTCACACATGCGCCTAACAAATAAGGAATATTCTCACATAGATAGCAGAATCCAGTGATTCCTAAACCTGGCTGGCTATCAAATTAAGCTGTAGAACGTTTTTTAAAATTACTTAGAATTTTTTAATAGGTATCCACAGGTATTCAAAAGAGCATACAGTAAAAAATACTGAATAGGCATGGGTATGAGAACCTTTATTTAAATAAACTTTGTTTCTGGTTCTGATATATGCAGCAGTCTTATTTCTATAATAGCACTGATTTCATGTACTTATTTTTTCAATAAAAAATTAAAATCCTTGGAGAATTTTCAAATGAATAATCTGCACTTTAATTATTTAAATATTCTTTTTTTGGTTGGTTGGGCCTTATATATTGATTTTTTTATTGGAAAAATCATTACAATGTGGACAATAGTTTTGATAATTTTTAAATCAAATGCCGAACCTTGCTGCCAAAAAAACAAGTAATACCTCCTTTTCTCCTACTTTTTCCTGTCCCTCAGCCTTCCAGGACCTACCTCTGGATATAGCTACTGTTATCAGGACTTTTTGTTCAATCTTCTAGCAATGTTCTACTCTATAAAGCGTATATCTGTGTATACACACATGAACACAAATAGATAACAATTGGTAGCATTTATACATACTATTTATCCCACTATTTTACCTTAACTATATCTTGGAGATTATTTTTTCTTGGTGCCTCCTATTCTTTTTAACTCTAGAACAGTCCAGGCTGTGCATCTCCCTAGTACCTACTGATAAGCATGGAGTGTGTTTGTAGTTCACTGTTAGGACAAGGCTGCAGTGACTTACCTTGTAGATACTTCCGAAAAAATCACACATATTGATGTTTCTCTGTAGGACATATTTCTAGAAGTGGAAATGCTAGGTCAAAGGGTATGTTCATCTGTAGCTTTTAATAGACATTGCCAAATTATCCTTCATATGGGTTGTTTTCCAATTTATACTCTCCCCAACAGTGTACAGAGGTGCCAGATTCCCTGTTATCCTCACAAGTACAGTGCTATCACACTTCGCTTTCAGTTCATGGTATAGATAAAAAGAATATTTCATTTGCTGGTTTGGAGCATCAAATGTTGAAACATGGAATGTTGAAACATGGAAGTTGTTTGGAGCATCTTTTCATTTGTTGCATTTCTGTTTATGTTTACTTTTTTGTAATATATCCTTTGCTATTTTTTAATCAGGCTTTTTTTCTTCTTTTCTGGCAAATGTTCTTTTACACATTAAGAAAATTAGTTCTGTCTCTGAGACATGTTGCAGATATGTTTCCTAGATTGTCACTTGTGTTTGACTTCATTTATAGTAGGTTTTTATTTTTTGCCATGCATTTAAAATTTTTATATACTTAAATGGATAAATATTTTCTTCTCCTGGTTTCTAAGGAACTATTTTTAAAGGAGTAATAATCATGTGATTATAAAGTAATATAAGTTTTGGTATATAATATAAAAATGCCATACGCTTTTGGTATAGGCAGGCCTTAATTCACATCTTAGTTTTGTCACTAATTAGGTGATGATCTCAGACAAGTTATTTAACTTCCCTGAATCCATGGTTTGTCAAATGTAATGTGAAAAATGGACCTGGTTCACAAGGTTTTTTTTTGTTTTTCTGGTTGGAATTAAACAAGATAGTATCCTGATATATTTTAGACATGTAGTAAAACTATCTTTTGCTATGTTCTTAGATTTAAAAAAATCAATACTCATTGCTTCTCAGCCTTTTGGCTAAGATCAAGTGTAAAAAAGTCAATACTGTTATTCTATAATCAAACTTTCTATATTTTACATAGTTTGATTTTTAAAAACTTAGCAGAAAAATCTCTTAGTTAACAAAATACATATTGAAAGACTGTAGTAAAAATTATTTATGAATATACGTACTCAGGCCAGGTGCCATCACTCAATGCCTGTAATCCCAGCACTTTGGGAGGTTGAGATAGGCTTATCACTTGAGGTCAGGAGTTCGAGACCAGGCTGGTCAACATGGTGAAAACCCATCTCTATTAAAAGTAGAAAAATTAGCTGGGTCTAGTGATGTTTGCCTGTAATCCCAGCTACTTGGGAGGCGTAGGCAGGAGAATCACTTGAACCTGCGAGTTGGAGGTTGCATTGAGCTGAGATCATGCCACTGCAATCCAGCCCGGGCAATACAGTGAGACTCCGTCTGGAAAAAAAAAAAAAAAAAAAAAAAAAAGAAAAGAAAAGAAGCACTCAGTAAATATGCTAACCTAAAAAATGCCTCTCTCAATTATAATCATGCTTAAGAGTCTTTCTTTTTATACAAATTATTTTCTTAATTTGTGTTTTTCTGTTCTCATCAAAAACAAAAATCTTAAGCAGATGCCATTTCATTTTTTCTTACCAAGTAATAAATCGGATTATTTGAAAAGAGAATCTAAAGGTCAGTGCAAAAGCAATCACGGTTTTGCTATTGAAAGTAATGACAAAACCTGCAATTATTTTTGCACCAACCTGATACCTATTCATGGATTTCATAATTAGTTTCTGTTTTCAAATATAAATGGAAACCATTCCAGAGTTGGTTGAATGCTTGTTTTGTTTTAACTATATTTGTGTCATTGTTACAGAATGTTTTTATTTAGTTAGTAATTTAGAGTGTGGGAGCCTTTTTAAAAATAGCTGTTACTTTGGAAAGCAGCATGAGACTGTCTAAAAAAAAAAAGAATGTAAATGTTTATCGCATGCATGTATATTTATGTTTCTCTAGGGTGGCTTATCTGCATTCAAAAAATTTCAGTAAAGCAGATGTTGCCCAGATGGTCAGAAAAGCACCATTTTTGCTGAACTTTTCAGTGGAAAGACTGGATAACAGATTGGGATTTTTTCAGAAAGAACTTCAACTTAGTGTGAAGAAGGTAAAGAAAAGGAGAGAATTTATTTATTTCCATGTCAGGTACATTTTAGTAGCTGGTAAATCTGATGTTCCTAACAGATGCCTGGCCCATGTGAATCCTATAAATTCCTGGTATTTTTTTGTACAAAATGAATTATCCTGCTAGTTTAAACATAAAGCTACATCATTTTATAATACTTCATCAAACCGGTTCTTTTTTTTTTTCCAAGCAGTACTAACTTTATATATCCCTGGAGTTCCTATCATTTTTCTGATAGGAACACACACACACACACACACACACACACACACACACACATACATATGTATATATGATTGGGTCATATATATGACCCACTAGACTCATATATATATTTTATTTTATTTTATTTTTTGAGATGGAGTATTGCTCTGTTGTCCAGGCTAGAGTGCAGTGGCTCTATCTCAGCTCACTGCAATCTCCACCTCCTGGGTTTAAGCAATTCTCCTGCCTCAGCCTCCCGAATAGCTGGGTTACAGGCACCCACCACCACACCAGCTGATTTTTTTTTTTTTTTTTGAGACAGAGTTTCGCTCTTGTTACCCAGGCTGGAGTGCAATGGCGCGATCTCGGCTCACCGCAACCTCCGCCTCCTGGGTTCAGGCAATTCTCCTGCCTCAGCCTCCTGAGTAGCTAGGATTACAGGCACGCGCCACCATGCCCAGCTAATTTTTTGTAGTTTTAGTAGAGACGGGGTTTCACCATGTTGACCAGGATGGTCTCGATCTCTTGACCTCGTGATCCACCTGCCTCGGCCTCCCAAAGTGCTGGGATTACAGGCGTGAGCCACGGCGCCCGGCCCCTAAAGCTGATTTTTATATTTTTAGTAAAGACTGGGTTTCACCATATTGGCCAGGCTGGTCTCAAACTCCTGACCTTGTGATCCGCCAGCCTCAGCCTCCCAAAGTGCTGGGATTACAGGTGTGAGGCACGGTGCCCGGCCCATTGGGTCATTTTTTAAGTTTTAACTTTGTATCTTAGTAATGCCTTAATTTTCGAAACTAGTTAAATATGCACATATAGTAACACTAGATTGTTTTGTTTGCAACCATAGACCAGAGAGCTGGTAGTTCGTCTCCCAAGGCTGCTCACTGGAAGTCTGGAACCTGTGAAAGAAAATATGAAGGTAGGACTTTGGACTTTTGAGAAATCAGTTTCTTTAAGTGTTAAAATCCTCTGAGGAGAATAGATTTTGCTGTTGTCGTCTTAAAGAAAACTAGACTTTAAAATAAGTTATTTCTAAAAAGAGAAATAGGCAATTAACAAATGTCTAGCAAGCAGTTTGTTTCAGTTAATATTTTCACATATTGACCAGGTGTTACATGAGTAAATTACCTTGCAGACATTGATACCCGCTATCCTAAAGCAATACATTAGGATATAAGTGGTGCCCTGAAACTGCTTCTGTTGTCAGCATAGGAGTCTGACATCTTTGTTACCTGGGCAGTGTTACCAGTCTATGAAACTACTCCTGTTGCCCAGCATGACAGTTTGTGTATATCTTGGGGACTTTGGGAGGCTGGATCCAAAAGACTTCTATGAAGGGAGGAGCGGCCATATTGCTCTTCTTAGCACTTCTCCCAATTGCCAACTCTCATTCTGTCACAGAACATACCAGACACTCTTTACCATCCTTCCTCCAAGAGAATAAGTGAAGCCAAGGGCAGCTGACTAGTTAGTATAGAAAGCCATAGTAGTATTTGAAATTACTACGTAAGGGCTGCTTTCTGAAGTGAACAGTTCAGTTATTGAAGAAGTCTTTATTGAGCTCCTGCCCAAGCGCTATGCTGGGGAGACAGCCCCTCCTGTCAAGGAGCTTACAATCTAATGGGAGATCAAATCCAGAGTGACAGGGGCAGTGACTTTGTGGGGGCACACAAGACACTATGAAAGCAAGTAGAGGACTTGGCGCATGTTTGGGTGTTTGGTTCATCATCTCTGCCTGGAATGTTGACATGTCATTTTTCAGACAACATATATGTGAGTGCGCTTGGGAGCAAAAGCTTAGGAGGCATTTTGAAGATCCTGCTGCTGAAGGATCTGTTTGGTGTTGGGCCCATGCCACTGACCTGCCAGCCGTCCCATGTCACTCATTCTGTCTCGTAATTATGGTTGCCCCTTTGGTGGTCTTCATGACGATCACTGTGTAGCTCCTTCTCAGCTGAGAGGTCTGAAATTCCGGTGACCCCAGGGGCTGGAAGCTGTAATTCCTTGAAGGCACTGGTGTAACTGTCTCCAATTTTTTTTTCTTTTTTGAGACAGAGTCTCACTCTTGCCAGGCTGGAGTGCAGTGGCACGATCTCGGCTCACTGCAACCTCCACCTCCCAGGTTCAAGTGATTCTTGTCAGCCTCCCAAGTAGCTGGGACTACAGGCGTGTGCCACCATGCTCAGCTAATTTTTTTTGTATTTTTATTAGAGATGCGGTTTCACCATATTGGCCCAACTGGTCTCGAACTCTTGACCTCATGATCCGCCCATCTTGACCTCCCAAAGTGCTGGGATTACAGGCATGAGCCACCATGTCTGGCTATCTCCAAATTTTAAAATGTTATTTTAAGTTTTAAAAGAATCATGGCCAAGTGTGGTGGCTCATGCCTATAATCCTAGCACTTTGGGAGGCCAAGGCGGGCAGATCACTTGAAGTCAGGACTTTTAGACCAGCTTGACCTACATGGTGAAACCTCATCTCTACAAAAAAAAATATAAATTAGCCAGGCATGGTTTTTAGGTGCCTGTAATCCCAGGTACTTAGGAGGCTAAGGCAGGGGAATTGCTTGAACCCAAGAAACGGAAGTTGTAGTGAGCTGAGATCATGCCACTGCACTCCAGCCTGGACGACAATGCAAGACTCTGTCTCAAGAAAAAAAAAAAGAATCATGGCCAGGCACGGTGACTCACGCCTGTAAGCACTTTGAGAGGCCAAGGCAGGTGGATCACTTGAGGTCAGGAGTTCAAGACCAGCATGGCCAACATGGTGAAACCCTGGCTCTACTAAAGATAACAAAAATTGGCCTGGTGTGCTGGCATTTCTCTGTAGTCCCAGTTACTTGGGAGGCTGAGGCAGGAGATTGTGCCACTGCACTCCAGCCTGGGCAACAGAGCAAGGCTCTATCTCAAAAAAAAAGAATCAGCGCAGCCTTAGCATGGTACCAAAATAAATATTTCTGCTTAGGATTCATAGCAAATTTACTTTCTTCTAGGTTTATCATCTTGAACTTGGTTTTAAACATAACGAAATTCAACATATGATCACCAAAATCCCAAAAATGTTAACTGCAAATAAAAGGAAACTTACCGAGACGTTTGATTATGTGCACAATGTGATGAGCATTCCCCACCACATCATTGTCAAGTTCCCACAGGTAATGCCACTCACAGCTCTCTCTCTAAGCACTACTATTGCGCTTCATTCAGAAGTGCTCTCCAGCTGCATAGTGCTGTGCACTGGGAAGAGTGTACAACTTGCAGGAAATGAACATCTTACAACTTCCAACAAATGTACATCTCCTGAGAAATCAGTGATTAATCTGTTTCCCTGGAGTTTCTACATACTCCTAGTTCTGATTGTTGAAATCAGGCAGAACAGATCGATTGTAGTCTCCCTCATGTTTTTCTCCATTTTACTTTGAAATAGATCACTTCCCTTAAAGGTCCTTTCACTGCTACATGTACTTTTTAGTCACATTTTATTTAAATCCATGAATCAATAAGCCATACTGTAATGATCTCCTATCCCAATATAAAACAGTTTCAGTTTGCCATCATGCCAAAGCCATAATTATATTTTCTAAGTTAATGAAACTTCCTTATTCTTTAGTGAGGGATAGTGTCTGCGGTTCACAAGATCATTAATCTTGAATATTGACTCTGTAAAAGCAGAAACTTTGTCTGATTTATATACTGCCAAATCCCCAGTGCCTAGAACTACACGTGGCACTAAGTAGGCACACAGTATTTGTTGAACAAATAAATGATTGGATTTTCTCAAAGTAATCCTTTTTTTCTATTTCCCATATAAATAGCCACTCAGTATTTACTGGATAAATGAGAAAGTGAATTTTTACTTAAGTGATCCCTCTACTCCATTCACTACAATAGGTATGTTCCTGTTTTTGAAAGAAGATGGGTAAAAGCAATATAACCTTGGCCGGGCACAGTAGCTCACACCTGTAATCCCAGCACTTTGGGAGGCAGAGGCAGGTGGATCACGAGGTCAGGATTTCAACACCAGCCTGGCCAAGATGGTGAAGCCCCGTCTTTACGAAAAATACAAAAAATTAGCTGGGCGTAGTGGCGGGTGCCTATAATTCCAGCTACTTGGGAGTCTGAGGCAGAGGCAGATAACTGCTTGAACCCGGGAGGTGGAGGTTGCAGTGAGCTGAGATTGCGCCATTGCCCTCCAGCTTAGCAAGAGAGCCAGACTCTGTCTCTCAAAAAAAAAAAAAAGAAAAGAAAGAAATATGACCTTAACACAACTCTCAGAACTCGATTGCATTTGGTCCAGTTCCTTCACATACAGCTAGATTTTTTTTACCTATTATACTTCACTAGGAATGGGCCCTTAATATAGGATTTTCCTATTTTACCAAATGTAAATACACTCATTATAAAAGTGTTAGAAACCTACAGTTTTGTGAATTTGGCTTATGAAGTAATTGTGAAATAATCTTCAACAAAAAAGCAATGACAATTTGTTTTTCCCTGGGTTGGTGGGTAATTCAGTGACCACAGGTGATTGTAAGAATATCTGATATTGTCCCCTCCTAGCCCCGGTGGTCCAGTCATTTTTCCCAGCATATCACTGAGCATCCATCAGTGCTAGATGCTGGGCACTAAGGATACAGAAGTCAAGCAGACATGGTCTCTGTTCTTGTGGAACTTATAATCAAGTGTGGAAGACAGGTTTAAAAATGGAATTGCTTTACATGATGTAAAAAATCCTAACCAGAGCTCTATAGCGTGATTAATTTAGAAGTGGTAGAATTACAGAAGTAATAACAGCAATTGACTACTTACTGTGTGCCAGCTCAATCTTTTTTTTTTTTTTTTTTTTGAGACGGAGTTTCGCTCTTGTTACCCAGGCTGGAGTGCAATGGCGCGATCTCGGCTCACCGCAACCTCCACCTCCTGGGTTCAGGCAATTCTCCTGCCTCAGCCTCCTGAGTAGCTGGGATTACAGACACGCGCCACCATGCCCAGCTAATTTTTTGTATTTTTAGTGGAGACGGGGTTTCACCGTGTTGACCAGGATGGTCTCGATCTCTTGACCTTGTGATCCACCCGCCTCGGCCTCCCAAAGTGCTCTTTATTGCTTTACTTGTATTAACACATTTAATTCTCACAACAACCATATGAGGTAGATGCTATTATTATCCCTATTTTACACATAAAGAACTTAAGCTTAAAGAGATGTAAGTAATCTGTCCAAGGTTACCCAAGTAACAAGGTTGGGGCAGAGCCAGGATTAGAACTCCAGCAGTCAGGTTTAAAAACCCAAGCCATTTACTAGGATCTGCTAGAAGTGACATTTGAATTGTCTGCAGAAGAGTGAGTAGTGTTTAAAAGATGGAGAGGAGCTTTCCAAGTAGAATAAAATATAAGCTGACCAGATGCATCAAAATCCTCAAAAACACAGATTTTAGACACCCCAAACCCTAGCTTCTGAGAAGCTGTGTTTTAGAACTGTGGCTTCCAAATTGGGATTCTCAGATTCCCAGAGTCTGGGTGGAATTATGGGGAAAAACCCAGAAAAATAAAAAGCTTGTTAATAATACATTAACAGAGAGTAAGGCTGTGAAGGGGCCGATATAGACTAAATTTTTGGCTGGTGTTTAAAACTCTGGCGTGGAACTAATTTGTCATGCAGATAATACTGGTTGGCAAGATTAATTTAGGATTAATTAAAAATGGGGAAAGAAATATAACTCAATAACCATGATTAGTTTATTCACTTCAAAGAAGACATGGTGGAAGGTAAAGGATAACTAACAAAAGCAGTTTTAGGGTAATGAACGTGAAGAAATCACTAAGCTAAGGAAAGAGGTTATATTTAGGATCCCCTGAAACCTTGGTTCTCCCCTCCCTTTGTCACTTTCTGGGAAGGCAAAGCTGAAGTCCACCTTAGGATTATAGGAGACCAATAATTCTCAGGCTAGGGTTACTTTTCTTGTTTTAATTCCCCAAAATTTAATATGTCATTAATGGGATGAAATTTTTGTGCCAATGGCAAAGTGGCCCCTGGTGGCCAACAACCCTCCCCCTGCACCACCACTCTAGTTTTTAGGAGTTTTACTTTGAAGCAGGTAAGACATATTTTCCTTAGTTACTCTCCCAGAGGTCAAATTCATTTCATTTGGATGCTAGTTGTGGGGAGCAGTGGGAATTTAAAAAGAGAGGAGAGGTGTTACAGATTATGAAATCTTGTAAATAAATTTTTCTTTTATTTCTTTTTTTTTCCTTTCACAGATCCTAGAGCAATAAATAAATTTTTTATACTAACATTGATCTCTGACATTGGTTCTCAAACTTGGTAGATATCAGAATCATCTAGAGGGCTTATTAAGACAGATTTCTGGGTCCTGCTCTCAAGGTTGCCGATTAAGTAGTTTTGGGGTGAGGCTTGAGGATTTGCTCTTTCTTTTTTTGAGAAGGAGTCTCACTCTGTTGCCCAGGCTGGAGTGCAGTGGTGTGATCTCAGCTCACTGCAACCTGTCTCCTGGGTCCAAGCAATTCTCCTGCCTCAGCCTCCCAAGTAGCTGGGATTACAGGCATGCACCACCACGCCCAGCTAATTTTTGCATTTTAAGTAGAGACTGGGTTTCACCATGTTGGCCAGCCTTGTCTCAAACTCCTGACCTCAGGTGATCTGCCTGCCTTGGCCTCCCAAAGTGCTGGGACTACAGGCCTGATTCACCACACCGGCCGAGGATTGGCTTTTGTAACACATTCTCCTCTGTCTCTGGAGCACTCAATCTTCTTTGCCCACAGTGTAGCCCTTAATTATTTTATTATTGTTTTGTATGTTGATTTTGAATCCCTTTTTCTAGTTTCTTAACAGAAACTATAGGATTTAAATCATATGACATTTATCATACTTACTGAACATGTGGTCAGTACTTTGTATTGGTTAACCTATTAAAATTGTTGCCAAGTAAACTTTTTAATATTTCATCCTTCAGTGTGCAATGTTTTTTAAAAACTTTTTTTCCTTTCTAGGTATTTAATACAAGATTGTTTAAAGTCAAAGAAAGACACTTGTTTCTTACCTACTTAGGAAGAGCACAGTATGATCCAGCAAAACCTAACTACATCTCTTTGGACAAATTAGTATCTATTCCTGATGAAATATTTTGTGAAGAGATTGCCAAAGCATCAGTACAAGACTTTGAAAAATTCTTAAAAACACTTTAGATTTTTATGTAAGTTAAAATGCAATATTGTAAAGTGAATATATATATGAATAAATGAAAATATTTTTAAATGCCTTGGGTCTCAACTGCTACTGGAAACCATTTGATACTGTAAACTTGGGTACATATATTGTGGTAGCTCTTTCTTCAGGTTCCTAGTGACTTAATTCTTGTTTGACCTTTTCCTTCTTTCTTAGGAAACACAGCAAGCTCAGAAAAAGGGGGAGAGTTGGTTTACTTTAAGTTGGTGCTTTGTCATTCTAGTGAAGATGAAAACAGTGGAAGATTTTTAAAGTGGTTGTGTTATAAAATGGCTTTATTTCCTTTGAAATATTAGAGTTTCCTGAGCATACTCCATTAGTCACCTAATATCTACTGCTCAGATAATGCTACAAAACACAGTTCATTTTGGATTATCTACATTGTTATCTTCTTGAACACAGATATTCACAGTTGGCTAAGAATCAGGAAAAGGAAAGGAGTTTAAAGATTAGGGGCAACGAGATACAGTGAAAGGCTTAACTAGCCTTTGACTTAAAGATTTGACAAGTAAACAAAGATTTGTTTTCTATTTACCACATATGTTATCTAAGCAAGTGATTTCATCTCTGAGTCTTTGCTTTTTTATTTGTAAAATGAAGTGTGACTTCGATTGTCTGACTTATGATCACTAGATTGGGTAGACTGTTAACACTGGTGGCCTCCATGAACCATGCCTGGTATTTGCACTCTTGTGTAGTTAGTTAGTTCTCTGCCACGCTGACTCTGGGCCAATGTGATTTGGCCCACTGGACATTTGTCAGGCAGAGGCTTGATAAGAATTTGCACATCAGGGCTTGCGCTCTTGGAACATTTGCTCTTGGCACTTTAAGCTACTGTGTAGAGAGGTCTGGTTATTCTGCTGGAGAAACTAGGTGGAGAGAAAGATATCTGGCCAAACCCCAGCTTTTTCAGCCATGCCAACTGAGCATCAGCCATGCATGAAGAAGTTAACCGGGATGTCCCAGCCTTAGCAGGCACTACACTGAGCAGAACGACCCAGCTGAATTCAGAATTGGGAGAAAGTTGTTTTAAGCCACTAATTTTGGGGGTAGTTTGTTGTGCACAGGGTATTGTGGTGTGATGGTTGCCCTTTAAAAAACCTCATGAAAAACTAAATTTGTAATTGGTCAGGGCCAGGTATCGTGGCCTTCCTGTTAAATATTTTATTCATGCAACAGACATTTGAGTTCCTAGAATACAGTATGTGTTGTCATGGAATTCTCCAATGGATGAGATTAATAAGCAGGAAACAACAAAAAATAAGGTAAGCTGAGGACCCCATGGAACCATCTTGCCCTCTCTATGGCTCACAACTGCATTTTGCCTTTATGAATAACCCACTGAACCACCGTATCGGTCAGAATAGGCAAGTTTTGTTCATACAATGAACAATCCTAAAACCTCAAATGATTAAAAACTACAAAAGTTTTTATCTCATATATGTCTCTTAGGACCACAAAGGCTCTGCTTCACGTTGTGTTTAGTCATACAGGTTGATGTAACCTGTCTGTCGTTTCTGGAGTGTTGCCAGTCTATGGAAAACGAAAGGAATGTGAAGAATTGCTCTTAAAAAGTTATCACACTTTTCTTGGCCAAAGTATCATATGGCCATGCCTAACTTTAAGAGGGCAGAGAAAGGCAATCTCTAATCCTGTGCTGGGAGGAAAGAAAATCAAATCTAGTTTTTGAATCAACATTAATGAGTACCACCAAACATTCAGTCTCTAAGAGAGACTGAATTCCTTAGGAGCTGGATTTTGTAACAATTTTGGGTTAATTTTTATCTTTTGATATGTCTTCTCTTGCCACCTTCACCTGTAACCAGCAAGCTAAAACTTAAAGGGTAAGGAGGAAGAAAGAAAAGTTTATTGAGCACCTGTCCTCTGCAGGGTAGTGTGCCAATGTACAAATGTATTTCTTCCCATCTTTCAGACTTCACTTTGGCTAGTGTAGGATAGAAGAGGTCATTCATCAGTTTTAGTGCATACGGGACTGACTAATAGAAGAAACTGTGGCAGCATGAAGACAGAAGAAAAAGGGGAAAATCAGTAGAATTTTATAACTGGAATGTGACTAAGACCATTAAATCTAACCTTTTGAACTTACAAGAGAAGGTTCTATTCTATATGGTCCCAGCTCCGAGCTTAAAACTGAGGGAAAAAAAAGATATCACTGAGTAATGGTGGAAGTACACTAGTAACTATAAGTCATCCTAGCTCCACCGAATTGTTTTCTGTCCCTAGATGTTTATGCCTAAGACTTCGCATGTTGGGGCTGAGACCTTAAAAGTCACCAAATACTTCTGTTTTGTCTTAAAATTGTGTGCAAATTCTGCAATACATCTTAGATTTAATCTTCAAAAATCTCTTCTGCTGGGCATTGTGGCTCACGCCTGTAATCTAGCATTTTGGGAGGCCGAGGTGGGTGGATTACTTGAGGTCAAGAGTTTGATACCAGCCTGGTCAACATGGTGAAACCCCGTCTCTACTAAAAATACAAGAATTAGCAGGCATGGTGGCATGTGCACCTGTAGTCCCAGCTACTCAGGAGGCTGAGGCACAAATAGTTTGAACCCAGGAGACAGAGGTTGCAGTGAGCCGAGATTGTGCCATTCTGCCTGACTGACAGAGGCTGAACAACAGCAAAAAAGAGGTGACAAAAACAAACTTCTTTGACTAACCTTCCACTAAAATAGCTAGATGTAGATCTTCAGCTGGAGAAACCCAAGGCCTAAGAAGCTTGGTGTCTCTCCTGGATTAGTAGTGTAACATATGGCCCTAGAATTAAGTAGCCCCAAATTTGCATCTGGATTCTCAGACTCTGGAAGGAGAACCTGGACTCTTTTGGCCGTGTGCTCTTGGACAAGTTACTCAACCTTTCTGAGCCTCAGCTTTCTCCTCTCTACAATGAGATAATTACAGTACTTTTAGAATTAAGTGATAGCGTAGGGACGTGAGAGATCACCTCCAACCCTCTTTCCCCTTTGCTCTTTCGTGAGCTCTTTGGTTGGATCTAGGAAGCAAATTGACACAAGGTAGATTAACAAGAGAAAAGCATACAAACTAGTTTTACATGTACATGGAGATCTTCACAAGAGAGTGAAGTGGCCAATGTAAGATGCCTTTACACTTTTTAGAGGAGTATGCTTTATACTGCAAATCTGAGAAGAAAGGGGATCTGGCTAGGGGCAGTAAATTTCTTGTGGATTCATTAGGAGAAACGTGGGTGTGGCGGGGTGTAAAATCAGTGGAAGACAAGGGTTACTTCGGAAAGTAGGTCCAAAGCAGCCCCCAGTTTCTCTGGTGATAGGTACTATTTTCTCCCCCTGGTAAGGGACGAGTACTCCAGAGGAATACTGGAGGAAGCTTTATGGCTTGCTGCATGCAGGAAGAGATGGGTCATCAAACACTTTCTGAAACTACATTTTCTCCAACATTTTCAACTCGAAATAATCAATGTACCAATTTCATATATTTTGGATGGCACATTCATCAGTCCTTCAGTAGAAAACTAAATGAGATGATGCCGTTAAAACATTTAGCTTCCTGCCTGGCACAAAGAGCTCAATACCGCCCACGCTCTCATAACTATGGACATTAAGTAACAGAACCCAGCCTTAAGCCTCGGTCTCCTAATTCCTGTCCTAGTGTTCTTCCCATCACATCGCAGCCTGTGCTTCTTAGAACCGAGGACGCCAAATGCCCCGCCCACTCCATTGGCCTCACCCTGGCGGAGATGCGCGCCCGCAGGTGCTCAACGACAGCCGTCAGAATTGCGCCTGCGCGAGCGGCCTTCCTCGTTTCGCGACGCGACGTAAAGCGCCTGCGCACTGGGCCCAGCATGTCCTCTTTGACTTACCCAGAAGGCTACGCTTCGCTTTCTGGTCATAATGGCTGGCAGGCCGGCTGGTAAGTAATTGGCGGGGGGTTCTTCCTCGGCGGGCATAGTCGCGCTCCACCGTTTATTTTCGCAGCAGTTCGCCCCGTTTTCTCTCTTCTTTGTAAATGGCCAGGTTTGTCGCGGAAGGGAAAGTGGCGGCTTCAGTCCAGCCAAAAGTACTTGCCTCCCCATTCGTTTGCTGTCCCCAGGCCGGGCTTGCCTGTAGAGTTGGGGTATTAACCCGCTGTTTGTGGAGGTGCCCGCGGTGGCTCTGACAGCCCTGCAGTTCCAGCTGCAGGTGTTCGGCATTCCTTCCCCTCGGCCTTAGAAAAAGTTCAAGGGCACAAGGGGATAACTAGTCGATGACTTTCAACCAGAATGAGCTCAGTGCTTTCTGTGACCTAATCGCTCTGTCGTGTGCATTGGCTCGATAAATTCTCCTGCCAGTGCGATGAGGGAGATATTAATTTCCTTTCTACGCTGATGAGATAACCGAGAAATATGACCCAAGGAAGTAGAATTAGAAACTTCATTGCACCCCTCGCGCTTCTCAAATTGCGAATTAGAGGCAGTTGAGCAAGGGATACGAGCGACGCTTCAGGTTAACCTTGGATTATCTGGAACGTCAACTTAATCAGTAGATTTGGAGAAATTTACTTACTGTAGGTTCAAACGCATTTATTGTGGAATAGAATGCAGATATTACTGGGATATTTAAAACAAAGTGAACATTAGGTTGGGTTTTCCCTTTTTTTTTTTGGCTAATCTCTGCCCACTGGCGGTACAAATTAGAGTAGCTTTTAAAAAATATTGATCTTTTTCTCCCCTTCTCCAGCAATTGTGAAGCTATTAGGAAACAGTAAGTTGCCAGAAAAATCAGTTAACCTAATTAGCATTGAGGTTTTTGGGGATGGGGGGAGACTTTTTAGTAATTATTTTATGAATTTGACAGCTATTGAGGGAGTCTTACTAAATTCAAGACACTGCTTCTGTGCTGTGTTTGGGAACCATATAGACCAGATCTCAACTCCCATTAGCTAACTCTTCTGACCTTTGGTGGGATCACTTCTGTAAGCCCCCTTCCCTTTCTGTAATAACAGACATGTAAATAAATCAGCTAATGTTGGTAAAGCAAATAGGAAAGTGCTTGGCACACAATAAGTGCGTAGTGAATATTAATTATTGTCATAGTCACTGGAAGATGTTTAAAAATAATCTGCCTTCCAGCCAGGCGTGGTAGCTTACGCCTGTAATCCCAGCGCTTTGGGAGATCGAGGCAGGTGGATCACAAGGTCAGGAGTTCGAGACCAGTCTGGCCAATCTGGTGAAACCCCATCTCTACTAAAAATACAAAAATTAGCTGGGCGTGGTGGCGGGCACCGACAGTCTCAGCTACTCAGGAGGCTGAGACTGGAGAATCGCTTGAACCCGGGAGGCGGAGGTTGTGGTGAGTCAAGATCACTCCACTGCACTCCAACCTGGGTGACAGAGCGAAACTCCATCTCAAAATACTACTACTACTACTGATAATAATAATAATCTCTTCCACAAGTATGCCTGTAGATTGTTGACTCATACTTAATTTTCTAGCAGCAGTTTTATACATGACTCTTAATTTCCAAGGAGATTTACTAAAGCCATGTAATCTGTAGTGCACTGAGTGTGCAGGCAAGGAGAGTTGAGTGAGAGTTTGCTTTCCTTTTTGATAAGGGGCTAGCCCTAGACAAAATTTTAAAAGAAAATTATACTTGTTCTACCTCCCCTTTTGTAAAATGTCTCTCTTGTATTGTCATGCTGTCCTTGGACCCTGCTGGGTTGCTTCATCAGGCTCATCCCTGCTCCCCAAAGAGTTTTAAAATTACTTATTTCTCCTCATCTGTTTTCAATATCCATTCCCTTGTGGGGAACTTAACTGCTTAGAAGGAGGAAGATGGACTTCTTTTACTAATCCATATTAATGTTTAAATGACTAATGGTATCAAAATCCTCCCCCAATTACATACATGTTTAGAGAGTGTGTTTAGAGAGTGTGGCCAAGTGAAATAACTAATGTTGAGTAAAAATTTTAGAGGAAGAGGGTCATTTAGACCTGCCAGCCTACGCTGAAATCTCAGTCTCTTTTCATACAACTCCTTTGAAATGGAAAGCTTTACAATTATTTCCTGTGATCTATTTATGAAACTACAAATAATAGAAATTTCCAAGTCCTTTTCCTATCTCCCACCTCTTCAATTCTGAAGGTAACAGGGGGCTGTAAGGGCACATGATGTACCTGTAGATCTTTTGTACATTCCATGTTTGAGTTTAGCCTTTTCTTCCATGACTTGCCACGTAATTTTTTTTCCTGCAGCCACTTTTGTTCATAAGTAAAATAAGCAATTTTTTTAAATCAACAGTGTATAGAGTATAAACTTTTTTTAAAATCAAATTCTTTTTTGATTAAATTCTTCCTATATAGAGTATATACTTTTAAAAGGAAATTTCTATGTTTGCATTAGTCAGCAAGATAACTATGAGTACTGGTTGCTTGCCTATCAATGTGTTCATATAGTATAATTCTGGCAACTAACAGTGTGACAATTATCAGTTTCATCATCAAGCAGGTTGCTGGAGATGATGCGAAAATGGTATTACAATGCTGCAGGATTCAATAAACTGGGTAAGCAGCTGTACTTCCTTTTCTGTTTTCTTTTTTTTTCTTTTTCTGAGAGTATTGCTTTTACAAGTGTTACTGTGGCTCCAAAAAAAATTTCAGTTCTTATATATATCGGAAGATTTTAAAATTAAATCACATTGTATTATGTTAAATTCAGTTCCTTTTAAAAATTTTTTTGAGAGGAGAGGGATGAAAGCCTCTAAAATGTTTGACTTGGTAATGATTTAAGTAAGTAGCAAGACATTTTCCTTATATATCCCTCTCCCAACTCTTCCACTTAAAATTTTAAGTTATATAAACATTGAAAGTATAGATTTTTTGAATTTAAAAATTTTCTCACATCCATGCAATCATATAATTCCTAAACTTTTTTAGAACTTTATAATTTGCCATGAACTTCATCTTTTGCTATTGAAGCCTCCAGACAGGGTAAGCAAAAGTCGCTGGTTCCTTAGTATACTATCATTTTAAGATTCTTCAATACCTTAAATCTGAGCTCAGATTTAAACTGTAAGAAGTAGAGATGTGGTTTATTATTGTGTGTTTAAGAACAAAGTAAACATCTAAAATATTTTTTAAATAGTTTAGATAAAATGTGAATTTTGTGGCATTGGATTTTAAGAGGCTCATATATTGTTTCCACAGTCTCGTTCAAGAAATAACCTGTTATATCAAGTAATAACCCATTACTTTTAACGGCAACCGCAATTACTTTGCACCGACCTAGTATTGTATGAAGTACATTGAATTTCCATTGAACCTAGTGATTTGAATTCAATAGTTCACCAAAAGTTGTACGTTATAAGTCATAAAGATATTTTACTAATTTAAAAAATGTGATATTTGAGATGCATGCGCAACCTAACTTTTGTCATCTATCATAGGGTTATTGCGAGATGATACGATATATGAGGATGAAGACGTAAAGGAAGCCATAAGAAGGCTCCCTGAGAACCTTTATAATGACAGGATGTTTCGCATTAAGAGGGCACTGGACCTGTCCATGAAGCATCAGATCCTGCCTAAAGAGCAGTGGACCAAATATGAAGAGGTAGAACAGCTTTTATCTACTTGACAATGTTGGTCATTAAGGATGGAGTTTTAGAAACGAGAAACATGTTCATTTGCATAGCGTTAGAGTTCTGAGTCACGTCAAATAAATATCCTATCAACAGGCTGGTGAGATTAATGGAGCAAGTGTTATCTCCATTTTAGAATAAAACCACATCAAGTGTTACAGGTGAAATGATTCTTCTGAAATCACTAAGGAAGTCTCTAATATAGAAAACCAGGACTAAAATCCAGGTCTGTTGCCTCCCAGGACATTGTTGTTCTACCTCTGCACTCTGCTTCCTACTTAGATGAAAAGATCAGCCCATTGAGTTGCCCTCCAGTTCCCAAAAAGAGCTTCTGTGAAGCAAACCCTCACCCCTTGAACTGCATTGAAACGAGGCAAAGGCCTGTAGACACACATTTCTTTTTCTTCCCGAAAAGACTTCCTTCTCATAACCTATCAAAGCAACTTATCGCAGTATCACCACAGATTTGACATTTTAAAAAGCAGACAGTTCTTAGGTTGAGAATATATTTTCTAAAATCGGAAATTAAAAAGTAAAATTTTTGCTTGTTGTTGTTATCTAAGACCTGTTGAGTGTTTGGGATATGTCAGTATGTGATGGTAACATATAATATTTTATTCATTCTTTAGGAAAATTACTACCTTGAACCATATCTGAAAGAGGTTATTCGGGAAAGAAAAGAAAGAGAAGAATGGGAAAAGAAGTAATCGTAGTTGAAGTCTGTGGATGCAGCTGCTATGAAGATGGTTAAACTTGAAACAAACAATTTTAAGAATTATTTGGTCTGCAGTTGTTTTACTTTAAATAAATGTCTATTGTAATCGCTGGAGTTTTTAAATTCTAAACCTTCTACTGAATAACTACTGAATCCAGTAGTTATTCTAAATTTTTTCCAAACTTAGAAGATATTTTTAGTCATGTTTAACTGCTTCCTGGAGCTCAGAGGCCACTTTATCAGTTTTCCTCACTGGTTGGATAGTCTATCAGTTTATGGAAGGATGTAACTTGTGTAAGTTACATCCTTATGGAAGTTACTGAATAAAAGAAGAGGGTATGCACCCCCTAGTTTGCCAGGATTGAGAAACAGCCTCTTCACTGCTATCCAAATAGATTTGATTTTGCATCCTATCATTTCAAAGGAAATTATATATGCAGCCCAACACAGGCATACTTATGTAATATATATACTCCTGTGCTAACATGTAGACTAGAAAACAAAAAGCAGACGTTAGAAAAATAGAAGTACAAAGACAAATCATGCTTGTCCCCATATCCTAGTAACTTTTCCACTTTGGAAGTGATTGTTATAAAGAAAAAGGGTTGCATACTAATCAGTTAAATGTTTTAAGATTATAGGGTAATTTTAAAAAATATAAATTAGTCATTGGCCGGGTGTGGTGGCTCACACCTGTAATCCCAGCACTTTGGGAGGCCAAGGCAGGCGGATCACCTGAGGTCAGGAGTTCAAAACCAGCCTGCCTAACATAGTGAAACCCCGTCTCTACTAAAAACACAAAAATCAGCCAGGCGTCATAGCAGATGCCTGTAATCCCAGCTACTTGGGAGGCTGAGGCAGGAGAATTGCTTGACCCTGGTAGGCAGAGGTTGCAGTGAGCTGAGATTACAGCACTGCACTCCAGCCTGAGTGACAAAATAAGACTATCTCAAAAAAAAAAAAAAACAATTAGAGTCATTTAATATTGTCGTCATTTCTACTCCTAAATTCTGAAATGCTTTCTTTGGTGGAGGTGAATGTGGAGTCAGAGCTAGTAGAGAAGGAACAGCAGGGCCTGCAGCCTCTCTGGTGTTCTAGGACAAGCCACTGCTGTGTGTGGCAGGAATGCCTCAAATAACAAAACAGTATGAAAAATCTGTGTTACATTTAAAATTTATAAAGCCCTGAGACATGTATCATAAAGTGCATCTTTAAATTTTTGCTAAAATATTAGCCTCTTAAAATCCCTAGAAGTCCACACATTTTTTTTTTTTTTTGCTATTCAGATTATTTTTTTAATCATATCCTAAAATCACGTCAATTTTGTCTAGTTCAAGACAACTAGATCACTTGATAGTGGTTTTGCTCAGATGACATTGTGTTAAGGTTTTAGTGTAGTCCTACTTGGCATAAGAGGCCAAGAAGATGGACTGTCTAGAACCCCCTTTAAAAGCATTTGTCTATTCAGAAAATTTTCTTGAGTAGATCTCTCCAAAGGCTCTTTTAATTGTGATTTAAGATCACTTTTGCAGGACTCTGTCTATTGGTTCAGACATCTGCTGTGCACAATTACAAGGAGAGTAGAACTGAGGCATCTCAAAAAGCATTATAAAGGTGTATAGGGAGATGGGTGGATGGAGGGAGGCTGGGCTCTGACGATAGAAACCATGGCTATGAATGTTAATGTTGAAAGCAAGCCTAAGGGCATTGCTGAAGGACAGGGAAACAAATAGAACTGACCAAGACAGATACAACAGGAACTCCCAGGCTATCCACCTGCTCAAGGTAGAAGGTGTGGTATTACCTAGGGCAACCTCTGATTTTGTGAGAGTTCTTCCTAAAGCCAAAGTGTATGCCTACTCTATGTTACCAGATTACTTCATTCTTCTAAATGAGAACAAGTATGCAAAAGTTCTTTGAACACTGTATCAATGTTTTTGTGTTCATTATAAATTATGTTTATCATCCTGCTTGTTACAAAGACTAAGAAAGTAGATCTAGCATTTGGCTCACATAGGGGAATGGGTGAGAATTTGTTAATTCATTGGTAAAGTCCTTTCATTTGAAAGAGAGGGCCTTCCTATTATCAAAAGCTGTCCTGTGTGAAAAATTACCAGGAGAGTGTCTGAAACACACAGGCTTGTCATCCTGTAGAGAATGGTAGAGTGATTCAGAGCTAATTCTGGGTTAGATTGCACAGGTCTGAATCTATTTGCTCACTGTGTAACTTTAGGAATGCAATTTAACCTCTCTCTGCTTCAGTTTCTTTGGCCGTAAGAGCTAATGATAGAAACCTACTTTATATAGTTGTGAAAATTAACTGACTATATGTTAAGCACTAACCGTTTCTGGCACACAGTATGCATGATGTAAATTATGTGATGAGAAGGGAGAAAAAATAACCTGGGAAAACACTGAATATCATCAAAGTCTTAATAGCTAACCAGTAGCTAAAGTCTAAGGTCCTCTCTTTTCCTTCTATGTGGCACACTTGTTTCTGTTCCGTCTACTCCCCTTGGACGTCTCCTTGAATGAAGTACCTGCTGGAGATGAGAAGAGTGGAACGAGATGCATGACAGGTTTGATTAGGATGTAGCTAAGACTTGGGTTTCTCCCTGTTTGGCATTTTGGATTGGTGACATTTTTAAACTGCCAACTTTTTGAATCCTGCTCATTTGCTTTGTACAGTTTAAAAGATATGATATCTTTTATTGTTTAAGGTTTAAGATTGGTTTTGAATATATGGTTCTCCTACATCTTGAAGAAGGATATGTTTGTTTACTCTGAAGTGGTCTACATTCTGTTTTTCTATTTTACTATACTTTGCAAAAAACAGATGGCTGGCGTATGTTCACTGTTGTAGTGCACTACCTGTAGTGCACTGTTGTAGTATCACTCAGCCTTCCTGTTGTAAAGGTGTAGGAAGCAGCGTAAGGGATGTTGAGGCTTCAGACCCCCAATTGCCAGCTCTAGTCCTAGTTCCAGATTGCATGGAAATATTTGGTAACATTCCTGTGCTGAATTATTATGGTCTAAATATTTATGTGATGCTCTACAAGTGGTACCAAAATGTTAATGATGGAATCTTCACTAACAGCACTTTTTCCTGTTTTTAAATTTTAGAATCCTAATAAATCCAAAGTGTAGATTTTGGTAATGATTTCATTTAGCTATTTACTTTAAGGACTCCCTTTTAAAGCATTAATTAACTCTGCACTAATTTTGTCTTACGAAAAGATTCAGCAATAAGAATAAAAACTGGGCCAAAGCCCAAAGTAATAATCCTTCCAAATTCACAAACAGGATGGGGTTTTAAAAATGTGGGAGTTTCAAAAATATGGGGATGGATTTAAATAATTTAAAAATAATAACATATGGGCATCCTGAGTTTTAAAATAAGTCTTTTGAAAATAACCAAAGTACTTGGAATTAAAAAGTTAGGTGAACATAAAAATTGTCGTAACCAAATCCTTGACAGCTTGATGGATGAAGAGCAGATGGGATTACACTGTATGGGAGGAGGCATGGATTTTAGCAAGGGCAGCACCCTCAGAGAGAGATAGAAGGTGAACAAGACACATTGCTCTTTGGAAAACGAGGAAAGTTCCTTTATGAGAACACGGCATGACATTCTGCCACTAGGGGGCGATGCACTATAACTTTACAACTTAGGGTACATCACACCAGCACTATGGAAGATTTCTCCATTCTGCACTCCACCAACTCCCTCCCATTCTTCATTTTTCAGGATGACAACACCTTAGAAGTTTATGGCCATCAGGAGAATTTACTACTAAGCTATATACTGATGTAATGAAATCTAATATATGTTGTGCAATGAATTATGAGATGTTATTTAGTTTCGGTATTTTATTACTTCAATCAGTTATGACCATATTTCCTTTTATATGATTGCTCACTCTTTAAACATACCAGATGACTGTATAAGGAACACCTAATAAAGTCTATAGATGTTAAAATATTTTAAATGTTTTAATTTATATGCCATAATTTGTTTAAATTCTGGTTATACTGGTGTTCATATTAAAAGCCATAACATGTTAGAATCTGAGATCTCAGATTGGATAGTGCCTCTGAGTTATATTTTGCTAAGAAATTTTATCGTGTTAGCAATTGAGCAGGGAAGAAGAACTGAATCATTATAAGGTGGTTAATTTTTAGCATAGATGTCAGAAAGCCTGTTAATATTCCAGAGGCTTATGATAAACTATTTAAATTGTCATTCTGGATTCTGATTATATCTCCTACAGAGAAAGAATGGATTATTTATTGAACTTTTTATTTTAATACATGTGCCTATTTTTGCATAAATGTAAAAATGTAATTTTAAAATAAACCCTTGGAAACTTCTGGTAACATTATCCAGTTGAATCACTGTTCTGTTAGTATTCTAAATATTTTAAGAAAATTTTATACATACCTATGACAATTGTATTCACAAGCCAAACCAAAAAAAAAGATAATTATTTGTTGTACAAAGGAGTCAGCTTACAGTTTCTCTCTTATGCATACATTTAAAATGTGGTTTGCCACTAAACTGGAAACATTGATCTGAGGCCAATGATTTAGGCAAGTCATTAAAGATTGGCTTCCTCAGTATAAAATGAAAGGCTTTCACCAAAAACTCTTTAAGACTTATTTCAGTACCAAAACATTCTGAGTCTGTGACTCCACTTAATGCATGTTATTGTTGGGATGAACTGATACTGATGGAACACTAGCTTTGTATGGGGCACTGTTCATATGTTGTCTCTTTTACTCCTCCCTGCAACCTTCTGGCATGGCTATTACTATGCCCATTGTATGGAAGAAGAAATTGGGCTTTGAAATTCCATTTTATGTTTGTTCATTGTATAGTTTTGCAGGTTTTTTAAAAAAATTGGTGTTATGAATTTATGTTCCAGGGTAGGTCGAAGTTAGGTAGAAAACAGCAGCCCCATCACTGTTGAAACTTGGGGCTAGATAATTCTTTGTAGTGGGGACCACCTCTGTACATTGTAGGATATTTAGCAGCATTTCTGGCTTCTACACAGCAGATACCAGTAGCACCTCCTGCCTCCAATTGTAACAATCAAAAATGTTTCCAGACATTGTCTGAAAATGTCCCCTGGGGAAGCAGAATTGTCCCAGCTAAAAACCACCAGTGTAGGGAATACAGAGGAAAACCAAGATAGTAGCGACAGATATGTAATCAGATACATAAATATGTAATCACGTATGTACGTACTGTGAATTATCCATAAAAAATATGTACCAGGTGCTGTGGAAACATGGAGAAGGCAAACTGACTCAACCTGGATGGGGATCTGGGCCTCTGATAATGTGGCTGATTCCCGAAGA